GGTGTTTAAATGTAATTGGAAAATTTAGAAGTGATATAATTTTGTTAGTGCAGTATATTATTATGTTTGTATTATGCAGTATAGCAAAATATAATAATATATTTAACTTTTAATACATCAATTAATTAAGAAAAATAAATACAAAATAACAGATGTATCTATCATTCATATAATACTTATTTTGAATATTGCACTATATTAGATGTACGCAATTAATTGTTTCTTTTGTTGCAGACTGTAAATAGAGAGTGTACATAGTGTGATAGGTGAGTGATATAGGTGGGTGGGATTTTAGTTGGCAATGAGTTCAAGCAACAAATCGGTGTCCTCCGGTGGGAGAGGCACCAACAAAAATAAGTCATCACAACAGCATGGAAAATCAGATCATCATCAAACTAAATCATCGGATTCAACAAAACATGAAAAGGCACAGGTCAGTAGACAGCATTTATTGTTATTGTGAAAAAAATAATTTAGCATTATTTGTTAATTTTTTAAATAAAGAGAATGTGAATTGCAGAAATATATGTAGTTCCTATTTTCTACTTTTTTTTTTTTTTTACATTATTCAGTAAAGAATTTTTTATTAAAAACTATGGCGTTGTAGCCAAACACTGTTCAGATGCGGCATACACAAATCATCGACACTAGAATGGGGAGTGGTGAAGATCCTGTTCTGAAAGAACGCATAAAGCAAGTCATGGATATGACTAGACGGTCAGAAGATGAAGTTGTCATGGCTTTGCATGATAGTGATGGAGACTTAGATCGAGCCGTTAACGATCTTTTAGAAGGTGTAAAAACAGAATGGGAAGTAAAAAAAAAGAAGCCTCGTCAACCTAGTGGATCAAAACAAAATATGGATACTTCTGGTGGTCAAGATGAGGGTGGTGATTGGGATGAAAGACGCAATCAACGAGGAGGTGGTCCCCCACGTATGCGAGGTCGTGCTAATCACGATAACCGTGGATGTATGTTAAAGAATATATTGTTTATTTACTAATGTTCATATACATCATTAAAATTGTGTAACTAAAGAAACTTTTATTTAGGGCGCGGTCGAGAAAATAAAGAGAATGAAAGAAACATGGAGGATGGTGTTCGTGATGGTAGCTATACTGGTAACAGAAGGGGAAGAGGTGGTCCAGGAAGACCTGGGCGAGGAGGACGAGGTGGTGGAAGAGGACTTGGTCCACGAACATTCGCTAATCGCAATGATCCATCATCTACATCATCGGCTCATACTTTTAATCGGTCAATTGATACATGGACAGGTAATGAAGAGCAACAACAAACTGCCCAAGAACCAAAGATGGGTAAGTCTTTTCACAAATTTTAGTTGTGAATGTTTTTAGTCATTCTAAAATCTTATCGTATACGTTAAAAATATGTGAATAGATGCATGGAATAATTTGGATTCTGCAGAAGACTGGGATAATGAAGAATATACAGGTTCACTGGCAGATACAAAAGTGTTTACACCAAGCACGTCTGTGGCAGAACCTCCAGCCCCTGTAGAAGAATCGAAAATTCAAGATCAACAAACAGTGCAACCACATCAGAATGTAAATTTGTCATTACTACA